ACGTAACAGCGCGGTAAGATGCCGCTTGAATTAGCGCCTGGCGACCTCAACCACTGGTGCATTATCTCATACCAGCACTAAAAGAATGAGGTACTAACAAAAATAAGTAGGTAGTGAATCTATTCATGTATCTATTTTGCTTTTGTATATATGGCATTGCCAGCAAACTAAACCAGCAACNAGTAAAACATAATTTAAGCTGAACTTTTAAATGTATAATAATTTGGGCACTGTTTTGTATTAGGTACGTAACAGCGCGGTAAGATGCCGCTTGAATTAGCGCCTGGCGACCTCAACCACTGGTGCATTATCTCATACCAGCACTAAAAGAATGAGGTACTAACAAAAATAAGTAGGTAGTGAATCTATTCATGTATCTATTTTGCTTTTGTATATATGGCATTGCCAGCAAACTAAACCAGCAACTGTCACATTCACCATGGAAATATACCTACTACAATTCACCAAGAAAAAGCCAACATAGTTCCATATAGAAGCTCATAGCTCACAAACATAGCACAAAGCTCGATTTGGTTTTTAATGCATGGCCTCGCCGGCAGAACTGCTTCCACTTTTTCGCCAGGTTTGCGTCCGTAGGAAACGAGAAAAAACTTATATCGCACGCTTTCCTTTTGTTTTCACGTTTACACTTTGCCACTGCACACTTCATTTTGCTTTTTAATGTCTCAATAATTGTTTAAAACCACGCAGAAATAATAACGCACATATATTAAAATTTTTATTTGGTTTTTTCGTATGCTCACAATCAACAATTGCACCAAGATGACGTCACGCACACAGCTCATTCTGTCAAAATCACAAAGAGTGGATTAGCGGTACCGCGATTGGCGCAATCTCTATTTCTCTCAGTCGTGGAACCTTGTATTATTGAATCATGGATACATACATACATATGATTAGTTTGTTGTGTCAACCACATACTGCACATGACTTCAAAGCGATGCTTTGCCTTTCGGTTATAAATGTGTACACACATACATATGTATGTATTTAGCATGTTCAATCAGTGATCGCTGCCCTCCAGTACTGCTGGAGTCAATCGCTACTTTTGAACCGCTACTGCACCGACTGCTAGGTAAGTAGCTACTCTATTAACCCGTGCACATGGTAGTGCTGAGTCGAACCAGTCGTAAGCAGAATAGCGAAAAACTACGACAGAGGGCGCTCATAAATCACGCAAGGGACTACTTTAGTAACTCCCGGTAGTGCAGAGAGAGCCGATGGTGACTACCGCCTAGGACATTGCCTTGTAAAAGTAGTCGATGAAGTAGTCGGTCGGTAATTGACGGTGTTTATCAGGTAGCTACCGATTCAGCAGTCCTGTAGTCACTTCCCCGTACTGCAGGGTGTTTAGCTTAAATACGTTTATGTGTGTATGTATGTGGTATAGCGCAGTCACGTCGCTCATACACATCTCTTTTGCCCCTGTGGGCTCGTGTTTGATCGGCACTGATGTACAGATTTTTCGCGTAGCTATGCGCTGTATTTGGCAACCAAATAGGATTATGCTTGTACGTCTTTGTAATTTTTTGTAACTTTACACCCAAAAAAAGGGTGCTTATCTTCCAAGAATAAAAAATATAAGTACGCCACTCTGCGCCTTTTTACAAATGCTTCGTTTAAAAAAAAAATATTAAAATCGGTTTAGTACTTTGAGAAATAAGTCGTTACAAACGTACTCCATATAATAAATTTTATATAATAGTATAGAGTATAGAAGTATAGATAAATATTTTATTAATGTTATTCTACAACTAGAAAAAGTGCCAGCAAATGGGACCAGGCCGGTGAAAACTTCGAAATATTTCCGATAAATATTAGAGAAGGCACCGATTCGTCGTCATTCGCATGGTAATTCGATCTGAATTACCTACAAATGAGGTAATTCGCTCTCAAAATTTTGTATGGCGAATTTCGTAATTCGAAAGGTAATTGGCAAGACGAATGACGAATGGGAGAGCGAATTAGGAATAAGAGAATTAATCGACCAGTCGACAGAGGAAGTAACCCAAATCCAATGGTCATATGGAAATCAATTGAAAATGAAATCTATCGGGCCCTGTCTCACGATCAATATGGATCGCGATTCAGTATCAAACTTTTGAACTGTGCAAGTCGTTTTTAAATAAGAAAAATGCAAGAAACTTCAAAAAAAGCGTGTTTAGCCATATTACTGGCATTTTCATTAAAAAAAAGAAACAAAGAGGAAGTATTGGAGTCGAAGATGGTACCTGGAGCGGCATAGGTACACTCATTTGAGATTATTGGATTCGATTCGACTTTGCAAGGAATTAAGCGACTACGAAAGTTACTTTCGGATCTCCACTGAAAGTTTCGACCATATTCTTGAATTAATCAGCCCATATATAACTAAGCAAGATACAGTTATGAGAGCTGCAATTTCGCCAAAAGAAAAACTGGCGGTGACTTTGCATTATTTAGCAACAGGAAGGTATGTACCCAAATCTAATGATATTTGTTCACAACTTATTGTGATTATTTTACAGCTACTTTAAGCAGGTGCGGTATACAGCGATTATGTCGCGGCAAGCAATAAGCGAAGCGATCATGGACACATGTGAAGCTTTGATATACGCTCTTCGAAACTGCATTAAAGTAAGTGTACTAAATGATACACATGTACATATGGTATTTTGTTATAATTTATTTAGAAAACTGTGCAAATAAATACATATGATTTATGTAATAATTTTAGTTGCCAGGGAATGATGAAAAAAGAGATCTTAGTGAGTATTCCTCTGTGCTTTGTATTTCTTCAGTGGCACCTACTTCAGTATTGTATATTAGCTTGGCCACTTGGAGGCAATTGCGAGGAAAAACTAGATTGCGAAGATAGAATAGGAGACGGAGTATGTGGGTAGTTAGGTGTTATATATCCACTCTGCAGAGGCATTCCAAAATTGGAGTCTGTTGAAGGTGTTGGCGGTGGTACATAAATAGGTGGCGGTCTTTGGACTCGAATAGCTTTAATATCTGGTTGCGGTGATGATTCAGAAAAACGTGGTAATGGTGGTAATTGATTATACATTGTGGGTTCTGGTGTCGGAGCTGATGACACATCCGTGTTGCAAGCGTCTGGATATACAATTATTTTAACAGAGTTACGTCTCAAGTTACCCAGTTCTGCTTCAAATAAAATATCATTAATTCCTTTTTCAGCTAGCATACGCTGCGTTGGATTAAGATGCTCTAATTTTTCACTCCAGTATAATGCCGTTTCAATTAGCTCGTTTTGTTTACCCACTGCACAATTTTTTTGTTTTTCCGAGGAGGAGCCAACTCGCTAATAGATGAAAAGGAAGTGTTAGATAAGTCCTCTCTATTTGTCTGTTCCTCAACTTGCACCAATTCGTCCACATTTTGCGATTCTACCTGGTTCTGAAGGAAAGAAAATTATTGTTAATTAATAAAATTGGTTTTAATTCTTTACATTTATGCCCGTTTGCACCAATCAATTTTAAAATTATCAGCCTGTAAAATTTAAAATGTAGTTCGGAAAATTTGTCATTTTAAATTTTAACGGTCTGATAAATTTTAAAATTGATTGGTGAAACTGAGAGTTAATTTTATATTTTATTTATAAAATGGATTTCAAATTTCTTTTTTTAGATGCCTAGTACAGCAGAAGAGTGGAGAAGTGTTTCTGATGAATTTCGTGTATTACATAATTTTTATAACTGCATCGGCGCAGTTGACGGGAAACACGTAAAAATAAAGCGTCCAAATGGTTCGGGAGCGCTATATTATAACTATAAAGGAACATACAGTATCGTTCTTACGGCTATTGCGAATGCTAAAAATGAATTTGTCATGGTTGATATTGGATGCAATGGACGCGTGTCTGATGGTGGTATCTTGTTTTACACTAAATTCTGGGAGCGTTTGTAACAAAATCGTTTAAATATACCGGAATGGACACTATCGCCAAACACCTCGGAATCATTCCCATATGTTTTTATAGGAGACGAAGCTTTCGCGCTAGGCCCTAACTTTATGAAGCCTTATCCTCAAAAAAGAGTATCACAAGAAGAGCAATTGTTTAATAAACGGTTATCGAAGGCTAGATGTGTCATTGAGTGTGCGTTTGGTATCCTCGCCAATAAATTTGGAGTTTTCCAGAAAGCCATAAGTCTCAGCCCGCAGAAAGCCGCAAAAGTGACAGCAGCTTGTTGTTATCTGCACAATTATTTAATGGGAAAAGATTCTAATTATCAGGCACCAAATTCCAATGAGTATAATTTTCAATTAACCACCGTACAAAGCAGTTCGGCGCGAAATTCAACAAGATGTGCCAAAACTATAAGAGACAAATTTTGCAAATATTACAATGACGAATATAGATGCTAACTTTTGCCACTCAATTTTTATCACTTATGTAT